GGGGGTTTTTTCGGGGGTGTTTTTTGGGGAAAAACCCCTTTTTTTTTTTATTTTTTGCCACCCCCCCCCCCCCCCCCCCCCCCCGGGGGAAAAATGTCCCCTGTCCCCCCCTTTTGGGGGGGGGGGGGCAAGGGTTTAACCCTTAAGGCCCCCAAAAAAAAAAGGTCCCCCCCCCCCCCCCCCCCCCCCCGACAAACACACACACACACAAGGCGGGATCGACGACTGCGGCATGCATTTACATGAATACACCCCTCCACACACACATTCTCGCACAGAGCGTGCCTTTCACTGATCGGGGGGAGGGGGGGGTCGTAACATGTCGTTCTACGTGCCGCTTGGCAGCTCTTCTGTCACAATCGAGGGGAGAGATATGTTTCAGTTCGGCACCCTTGATGTCGTCTGTCACCCGTGAATGTCGGTTGTCAGTTAGTTCATTGGCGTTTCTCGGTGGACGGTCTTCCCACCGCCGGAGAGACGGCCACGACTGCTGCTGCGCTGCACTGGCTTTTCGCTGATATTTTTTTGTGCGACATTGTGTGCCTTGATTGTGTCCTTTTTTCGTCGGAAGGCGGCTGAAATGGCGGAGCTCAGGGACAAGAACAAGTCGATGAAGGACGAGCTCTTCCGCCTGAGCCAGCGCTACTCCAGGAGGATGTCTATGGTGAGTGGTGGTAGGCAGGCTTTTGACCCACTCTGCTTCTTTTTTGTGCTCCTTTTTTTCGGTAACAAGAGAATCTGCTCATCTTTGTGGCCAACCATGCTCGGAAATGTTTCTCTGGGTTAACGCTCAGTTGTTGCCTGCTTTGGGGTGTGGTGCTCTGGATATGCTTCTCAGGGCCCTATTCTACATTTTTACTAAATTAGAATGGGGCGAAGCGTAGTTGTAAATTGGATGAAGCATAGTCTACCATTGCAGGGAATAGGTGTTGTGATGGTCGATGAAAGCGCAGATGGCGTCCAGCCGGTAGGACTTGATGACATGTCGAAGAGGGCATAGGCGAGAAAGGAATCAATCGTATGCATGGGGACTCAATGTTTTTTGTGGCTAACCAATGGTGACGAGTAAGTAGTTTATCCAGCTGCACGCCTCTTTTCCAATGTCCCGCCCACGCCAGTCCACGCCCGAACACAAGAAAGCAACGCAGCTTATTGCTAGAAGCACAAACACACCGCCGCAGGCACAGCCGGCACAATGCTGTACCCACATCATCTTATCATGTGCTCTAGAAAAAAGAGCTCAAATTCCCACCCACCCACCCAACCGGTACTCTGTGCACGTGACCCCCACCCCTCCCCTCTAGATGAAAGTGGACCACACGCGGGACATGGTCCGTCTGTCTATGCTCGACAGCGTGACCGACTCGAACGATGCCAGCGACGACAGCTCCTCGTGCTTCGGCTCTCTGTCGGGAGTTGTGCCGGAGGAGGAAGGCGTCACGGCGGGGGGGTCGGACGAAGGGGGTCATCGCACCCCTGCGGGGCCCCCGGCGGAGGTTCTGTCGGACCGGACGGTGGGGCTTGGACCTGGTGAGTTTTTCTTTTTGTTGTTGGTGAACCCCACTCGCGGCCAATGGTCTAACCCCCGAGCTTGCAATATCTCAAGAGTACGCCCCCCCCCCCCCTCCAACCCTGGGCTTGTCCAAGCGCGCAAAGATGGAAGTCGCTTGCGGTATCGGAAGCATAGTCACGTGCCGGATGTGAAACGTTTGGTTAGCCGGGACCCCCGATCAGTCCATGGCGTATCTGGCTTGGCACAACAACGGCAAGGATGATGACCGGCTTCTGGTGAACCCTTGTAGAACGTGGCCTGGGCCGGCCGGTCTATCGCTCTTTCCCGGCGTTGTAGGGATGCGAGGTCAATGCATTGTAGGACATGAGTACACGCCAGGGTTTGGTTGTGTCCTGCGAAGTGGTCGCATGGGGGGCTATGGTGGTGTCCTCTGAAAATGATTCGCACAAGCGCAGAGATACTCGACTACACGGTGTTATTTTGTGGAGGGTTTCGCCCCCGTCCTTGAGGCTCCACTCTCGTTACGGAGGCGTTGTAGGATAGGGTGGCCGGGATTAGGACCCGATATCTACAAGGATCGAGAAATTGTCACTAAATAGTATTTTCAGAAAGTATACAGAACCTCACAGAAAGACCACCCGTTCGAATTAAATAATACCATACCATAGTCAATGGGAATGTGTTGAAGTCTTCACAGTGAGTGGTGGGATGAACAAACTGCCTGGGTACTGGGCTTACCGTATATGACACAAGATAACACACCCCCTTGGCCGATTTTCAAAGCTCAATTTCTCAACAGCAGGAAGAGTCACAGCGCCGAAAACGGCGGCGTTGGAACCGTCTCGTCGAGAGCTGTTCGAAAACGTATTGTTTCGTTTTATGCATCCTCTTCGTCGTGGAGTAATCGAGCTTTGAAAATCGGTCCAGGGGGTGTGTTATCTTGTGTCATATACGGTATATATGTCTATTTACGTCTACTATAACCGCAATCGAGGGTTGTAAGAACGAGCTGCTGCCGTCATTGTTGCCCTTGTCCTCTTTCGTGACTGGTTGTGTGAGTAGGTGTGATGTTGTCGCGATTTGGTCCTGCGTACGCTATACGGTGTGGTTGCGGTGATTCTCTTGCGTATTCTCGCCGTTATTGCATGTAATTTGTCGTCTTACTTTGGTCAATGGTCAACGATATAAACTTGCACCTTTACCCGCTTTGACCACAGTGTGATAACGATGTTCGAAAATGGCAAGGTCGAAAAATAGAAAAAATGGCTTGGTTGACTGGAAAAAGAAAAATTGGTTTTGATCGTGTTTGATCATGATAATGATTTTTCGACAACAAGCCTTCGTGTCGTGTGTCTCTTTGCTTTGTCTGCCTAGCTCGTCTCGTCTGCTATCCTCTTGCTTCCATCGCAGTCGCGACCAACTTGTTCGCACCATCCAGATAAGTCTCACCCTTAATTGTTCTGAGCTGACCCACAAGCCTGCGTGTTGTGTCCCTCTGCTTGCTTTGCCTGTTTCTTCTGCACACGTCGCCTCTTCTCCTCTCTTGCTTATACCGCAGTCGCGGCCAACCTGTTCGCTAGCCCGGTTCCCCGTCATCTCAGCTCCCGGGCGTCTTGGGGAGGGCCGAGACCCAGCCCCAGGAGCGGGATGCCTCCCAGCGTCCCGAGCCCGATAAGGTTGGTTTGTGCCGCCGCCCGGCACCCATGGTAGTTTTTTTCGGAGTTGCTGTTGTCCACTCATGTTCGTTCTTGTCAGCTTTGTTTGGTCGCCCATAATATAGCTTTGTTTGGTCACCCATAATATAGCTTTGTTTGGCCACCCATGGTAGGTTTTGTTGGCTTTGGTCGTACTGTGCGCTTTGGGGGCCCTACCAATACTGTGGCACCCCACCCTCCGGGTCTTGTTTTTTCTTTTCAGATTCGTGTTGCCATCGTGCTAGTTTTTGTCAGCTTTCTTTAGTCACCCGTAGTGTAGCGTTGTTTGGCCGCCCACGATAGTTTTTTTCAGCTTTGTTCGGTCGTCCGTGTTCTTTTGTTTTTTGGCTTCAGCTTTGTTTGGCCACTCCAGTTAGCTATTGTTGGATTTGGTTGGCCACTCGTGCTAGTATTGGTTGGCCACCCATGTTGGTCTTTGTGTGCTTCGGTTTTACCGTGCCTTGTGCAGAGTGACGCCTGCGGCCGGCCCCGAGTGTGATTAACTTTGAGGATGGGATGAGTTCCCAAATCGTGTACATGGTAGGATTAGGTTGGTGTGGTGGTTTTCGGGGTATCTTTTCGTCGGGGTATCTTTTCGTCGGGGTATCTTCCGGAGTAGGAAGCACCGTGTTTCAGTTGGTAGCCTCGTAACGTGTGAACCTTCTGCCTATTTGGCGCCGCGCGGGTTGGAGCCTCCATGGAGTGAAAAAATCGCAAAATTGTAGAAGTGGAAAGCCCTTCCCTCACACCGTTGCCTCTTGGCTGTGTTCGGCGTGTCGTGAAAATGCAGCTCAAGGGGCGCATGCAAGGCGTTTGCCCACCGCCGCCTCTGTTGCCTGATCGTTCGATGGTGTCGTGAATGAAACAGCTCAAGGGACGCGTGCGAGGCGTCGGCTAACCGCCGGCTCAGCGGGCAGCACATGGACAACATCATGGCCAGGCAGAGGCAGCTCGAGCTCGGGGCGGAAGCTGAGAAGAAGCGGCTCGAAAAGGTACACGCACCGTTCGGCTCGAAAACTCGTGCCCATGTAGACGTCTCCATAATAGGGTACTTCAGAGCCTCGTAGAGGAGAATGTCGTGCAGAAGGTTGGAAGAGGTAGACGTTGATGCGAAACACCAATACCCGTTCAAGAAAGTGGAGACACCCTAAATATTGCAAGAGGTAGACTTTGAAATGCAAATACTTATTATTTTGCTTCGATGGAATGCCACTGCCGGCTTCCAAAGGGACATGCAGACTGCCCGATGAATTTTACGCACATGCGGCGATAATGTGCACAGGGTCGAACCAGCATCGCCTTGACAAGGTACGACAAGGTAATGACCCGGAGAGGAACGCGGACTCTCATCAATGCCTGTGCATGTTTTGTCGTTTTGGCCCCATCTACAGCTGGGTTTGCCCAGACAGGAGGGCCACGCAAGAGTTTTAGTTTTTTTCGTTTGCATACGTGTACTCTGACGATGCAAAGTTGAAATGAATTATTTTCTTGTTTGTGTGTATCATATTATTATTATTTTTTTCTTCTGTTTTTGGAGGTGGTGGAGAGGAACCGGGTGCTAAGTCAAGATCTGCAGAGGGAGCGCGCCGAACGTCAGCGTGTGCAGGCCCGCCTTGTCACGGCAGAGCGGGGCACCGAGGGCGTGGAAGCGGAGAGCCTCAGGGACACCATCGCCGCCCTCGAGGTACATGCGACTTTGAGGCTCTGCTGCTGTACCTTTTTTTGTCGCCAGTGTAGACTTAATGAACGGCATGTAAAGAGTGCTCTCTTTAGTCGCTCAATGTATTTTTGAGGTGAAGAACACCGTCGCCGCCCTCGAGGTAAATAATACCGTACGTATATTCTGTGACTTTGAGACGCTCTACATAGTGTACCTATTTTTTCGCCTCGTTAGGCGTACTGCACGACATGGGAAGGCAGTTGTACCCTCTTTCGTCGCTCAATATATTTTGTGGTGAAGAACCATGCAGGGACTCCCTCGCCGCCCTCGAGGTACAGTATGTACACCGTGTTATTTCTTTGGGGTGGAGCATTACACCGAACATAAAAAGAAGAAGGGAACTGCTCCTCGCGATGCGCCCCATGGTTTATTTTTGCCGTGTACGTTAACGCACGGTACTAAACGCAGTACCGTCTTTTGTCGCACCCTTTTCTTTTTTTTTCGGAGAGGGTGAAGAACGATGCTATATATTTGATGTGCCTCGCCTGTGTCTTTGTTGGCACAACGGAGAAGTTTTCTTTTCACTTTTTTTGTTTTTGTTTGGTCGTGCCGGAACGGTATCTTTGCCTTCCACCCGCGTGATTTCTTGCTCAAACCTGGGGCAAAGCTACCCTTTGGTTTATGCCTCAGATGTGATGTTCGAGACTTTACGGCAACGTAGCTTTCCACCCACGCTTTTGTGTGTTCAAATGCGTTTTTCTGCTTGTCAGGGCGTGTGGGGAGAGCTGGGCGTGGCGCACGATCAGCGGCTGGGCTTGATGGGCGCCGTTGCTTCCGGGGTGCTGCGTGAGGCCGAGGCCCAGCTCGAAGAGGTTGGTGCATGCAGAACGCGCTACGAATAATCGTTTTCCCAAGCGATGTACTACTGCTGTTGCTCCTGTTGCTCCACAACGTGTTGGATCGTTTGCATGCCTTTTATTGGAGCTACGTTATCTTCCTCTGGAATGAGGCAGTGCGTCAAGTGACAAAAAAAAAAAAAAAACAAGCGTGGTGGTGCGGTTTTTGTGTACGACTCGCGGAGTTTGTTCGTTTGCTTGCCAGTGCTGCGAGAGCTCGTCAAACGAGAACCACATCCATGGACCAACTCCGCTGACGTTTGTGTGCGGTGAGATGCTTCGTTTACCGTGAGCGGATGGATCAGCGCCGGTGCAGTAGTGCACTCCGCGATGTGAGGAGTGTAAGAGTGCATGCAGTCGTGGCTCGGTACCTTTTTAAGAGGGGGCCCCGATATAAGAGGGTCCAAATCGGTTGTCACGACTTGGACCCTCTATAGTATACTAGTATTTGAGTACTCTCTTAATCCGGTATAAGAGGGGGCTCCGATATAAGAGAGTCGAGGGCCTTTGTCACACAAACCTCTCGTATCGGAGCCCCGACTGTATGCCTATGTATCGAAACGCCTCTTTCGGTGCACGAAAAATGCCGTCAGGCGAGGGACGAGCGTGTTTCCCTCGGAGCCAAGATTGGCTCGCTCCGTGAGGACCTGGGGTCCCTGTGGGCCATGCTCGGGAAGCTGGGCGACATAGACGCGATCAACCAGAGCATCTCCGATAAGCCCTTGCGCGCACAGGTTTGTTCGTTGTCGTTGTTGTCATTTCAGCGAGCGGTTGCCTGCCCTCTGATCAATGCCTTTTAGGGGAGCGCCTGGTGATGCACGCACGAGGTGTTTGGGTGTTGCCGCCCTCAGTAGGTCGGACTTCGGACGTGTTATCGTTCTGTTGTACTGCGTACGGTCGCTGTCGCTGATGCTCCTGCTGCTGCTGCCCGTGTTCGATCTGGTGCACATCTGCTACTGCTGCAGCTGGTTGCAGAGAGCTGCCGTGCAACCAGTCGTGAAGAGTCGGCGGCCAGACACGGGCCGAACGAAAGAGTGGTGTTTATTATTTGTGCTGTCTACTTGCATGAAGTCACCTATGTACCATACATTTGTTTGTTTTCGGAGCTGACTGAAAGTTCCACTTGCTCGGATGCCCCTCCAGGCCGAGGAGCTGTCGAAGCTGGTGCTATCCGCCAGCGAGGAGGTTAGCGCGGGTGCTGCTCGCAGGGCCAAGCTCAGGTCCGCCGCTTCCGCCGCCGTTCGGGTGCTTGATCTCCCGAACGAGGACATCGGGTCCGAGCTGGCCAGGCTTTTGAACGAGGTGAAGGAAGTGTTTTGTTGTTTGCGTCGTGGGGCGTGTGGCCGGGGTATATGCGTCGATTTTTTGCAGCAGGAATTGGTAGGGGCGTACTGTAAGTTTGTACGGAAGGCCTCACTGTTTATCTGCTTGTATCTTTTTGGTGTTTGTTTTGGGTGTTTCGTGGTGTCGTCGTGCAAGCGTGGGGTACCGCGGCTGTTGCCAAAAAAATGAGCTCCGGTTTATTGATTGCATAGACGAGAAAGCCACGGTAATTTTCGCTTTATTTTTTTCTTTCCTGACGTTTCATTCCGGAATTTTATTTTCTCTCCCGTGTAAACAAGATTGCTGTTAGTTGTGTGTTTTTGGAAAAGTACATCAAAACACTAAAAAGACTACCCTTTCGACAGGCAACCATAGTCGAAACGGGCATGTGTTTACAGTCTTTACAGCAAGTGGCTGACTTGCATCGCGTCTCTATTTTTTTCGTGCTGACACCCTCACCGCTCCTCCCTCCCAACCCCTTTGTCATCGGGCGATCACTCCTCTGCTTTCTTGCCCCGCCCGCCTGTTTGTCTGCCATGGTGGCGCGTCTGTCGTGCCCCCCCCCCCCCCCCCCCCCACTACGTCGACGGGCGTCTGTGACCGCGTTGCAGTCGAAGTTCACTCTGCCGAGGGCCCTGAGCAGCGACGAAGAGATGGTGGCCCTTTCACACGGTGAGAACCAAGGGGGGACACCCAGGAGATGGTGGCCCATCAGGAGATGCTGGCCCATCTCTCAGTGAAAAACACGGGGGGTTAGGAGGGCCGTTCTTTTCTCTTTCCCTTTCATGTACAGATTTGTTTTTTTCTTTGCCACGTGCAAAGAAGCGTGCGCGGTCGTAAGTGCCTACCTCTGTGTTCGGCGGTACCTGACGTGTCCCCTTCTCCGGCATATCAATCGGACGGAAACCAAAACAACGAGCAGCCCGATATCGTGGCAACTTGAATTTATTGTTGAACTGCCGATCTAGTGGCATCAAAATCTCTTGTCACAATCTTAACCCGATGTAGAGGCATTTTGCCGCTAGTACGGGGCCCTCAATAGTGGTATTATTGGCATCTCACCCCCCCCCGCCAATAGTGGCAATTCCAAACTCGGGGCCCCACACTCCTACACGCTGCACACCAATCCACAAACAGCAGTCACAGCAGCAGTGGGCGCCACACATATTATTCCAGCATGCACGGATCTAGAACTGGGTAAACTCCAAAACAAATCAGGCGCGGCACGTATCATGCCAGCACGCGCGGATCTAGAACTGGGTAATCCCCCCCAAAAAAAACACTGGGACAGAAGGAGGGGCACGCATGTCGCGCGGGCTGTGGTGGCCGATGTCATCGAATCTGCCGTAAACCAGAGGAAGTGGAAAGTGGTATCGAGACACACCGCATCTGCACTTCGTGCACTGCTGTTGTCAACGTGTTGTGCTTGGTGTGTTGAACCCCATATGCTACTTGAGGCCCGTCCGAAAAAATATATATATTTGTGTGACTCTACTGCTGTGCTTCTTTGCGGTATGCTTGGTTTTTCTCATGCTGTCTATTCACTCAATATTGTAGCAGTGATACCGAAAGCATCGCAGTCGCTAGGACAAGCGCGTATTGTTTTGCACGTGGTGGGCCGAGATCGGGGCCTTGTCATGTGGTTAACGAACACTAAGCCCAACCCTAACCCTAATGCCGAACCACAAAGGGGCAACATGGGTAGGTGCCACGTGCAAGACACATCACGACAGTAAACCTTATCCAATTAACAGCTAGCAACCGGTATGCACACCGAAGCTTTTCTCTTCAATAGTGGCAAGAAGTGCCACAATCGGGTGTCAATGGTGGTGAAACGCCACCATAACGGGCTAGCGGTACTGCCCCGAATGGCGCCAATATGGTCGTCTGTCGGTCGCGCCACTATCGGGCTGCACTGTTCATACAAGTAATGTGCGTATGTGAATAGAATATTCCGCTACAACACAATGCCTCCTTGCATGGATTTTGTTTTCTCAGGAGACTCCGGGGAGGGCAGTCAGGAGAAGGAGGATGGTCACGAGAAGCAGGGTTCCGGATACCTGGTGGGCGGCGAGGCGCTGTCGAGCTTCGAGAGGGAAGTGAGGACTCTGAGGACCATGCAGGCCGAGGCTCTCGCAGGTTACCACGAGGTGAAGAGCGAGAGAGAGAGAGAGACAGAGGGCTGGGTGTAGAGATACCCATCACCATGCTTACTATCTAGAAGCAATGACGGTTACATGTAGGTCGTTGGTGCAGTGCCCGTGGGGTGGAAGGACTCGTAACAAATTGCGCGTGTTGATGTAGATAAGAGCTAGGCTATCCCACACACGGGCTAAGGGAAAGTTCAGGGCGGGATACGGTGTGAACATCCGACCGGCGTGCGAGCTTCTTCCTCCCCTTGTCGGAAAGCTGCGAGTGGTCTGTGGGGCAAGGACAGTAGCATCCGATCATAAGGATAATCACCAGCTTCTGGTTCATCCTCGTGAACCGTAGCCTGGTTCTGACAAAATCCGTTGTATCGCCCCGTCCGGGCATCTAAAGACCACGGCGTGCGCTTACATGAGTAACCTCCCCCCACCCCCGTGTGTCTCCGTGTTTCGCCATGTAGCTACGCGACAAGGCCCGCGAGGCGGTCCTGCGCATGGATCTCTCGGCCAACGAGGCGTTCCTGCTGTGCAAGAGCTTCCACGAAAAGGGCTGGGTGCAAGTCGGAGTTGGAGACGGGGAAGAACGTGGGAGCGGCTACGCCGACGGGGGTACCGCAGATGGTGCTGGCGAAGGTAGGGGTACCCTCTTATCTGTTCCTCCGAGTTTATGTTGTTGTTGTATGTTGTTGTTGTTGTTGTCGTCTTCCCACTAAACATCGTTCCGGTCTCCACTCAGGAACACTTTTGATTGTCCGTACTGGCCCAACTGGCTCGGGCGACTTCCGTGGTCACAGTGTATGCACTGCTATATTCTGTGTGCTGCATGGCGTATGTTTTGTGATGTGGGGGGGGGCGTGAGTATCTCGGGGGGTACCAGGAGGTCCGAGAGGGAAGACGCTGCATAGCTGGATTGTTTTTTCGCTCGTGAGGTTTACAGCGTTGTGTTGAGTTGCATTGTCCTCTTGACATTCACGCGTTGATGTGGATGTGGTGTAAGGGGACAGTTTATACGCAAACCGTAGACACATGATGAAACCGATGACAAATCACGTCCTCCTCGTCCCTGCAACGTTGTCTCCTTCTGCGTGACGTATGATGGTGTGCAGAGCTAGACGAGGATGCGCTGGACTACGCGTGTGCCCTCCTGTGCAGGCCCGGGACCACGCACGTTCACGTGAGAGAACCTTCTGTTGATTGAGGCGATGACGCGATGTGGTACCAGTTGCACGTGAGATAATCGTGCGTTTTGACTATGACACGTGCCAGCTCATGGCGGCGAGGTATTACTGTGGTGTTTCCGTGACGACAACAACAACAACAGCATTCTTTTGTCAGGTGTAAGCCGACGAACGCCGGGACAAGTAGCTCGTTCCAAATCCAACGTCTCTCTTGTCAACCCAACGGAACTAATTGCACCCAATTATGACTCTCCACATCTCAACGTGACTCTCGACCACCTTGTCTGTGCCTCGTAAAAGTAGGTTCTGCTGCAGAAATCTCTCATTCCGCAGCTTTCCTATGACGCATACGTGATTGGGCCGCTCTCTCCCGAAACACATCAAAGGAGAACGCTATTCGATTTTCGGCCCCCGTGAAATGCCACTGACTACTGTATGTGTTGCACGCCTTGTCTTTCCCGGCCTTGGTTGCAACACAACAGGTGTCCCGCTCCCGCACGCAGCACCTGTACATGGCCTGGTCCGCCCTCAAGCTGGCGCAAGAGCAGCGGAGGTCGGCTATGAAGAACGCGCAGGTGGGTGCAGAGTGGCTGGCTTGACTGCATGTACGCATGTATGCGCATGGGCAGGTGCACGCTAACACGTAAATTTCCTAGCGTTGAGTCTTGCTGTCGGTCCTATCCTGATCAACACGTCCCGCTTTCGGGGGGGGCCGTAGCACAAGTAGGTGACATTATCGCTAGGTACCAGCGGTGTTATTTTGCCCCCGCCCCTCCCGAGCAAAAAACACGGGTACTCGAACACCGGCAGCGGCTTCCTAACCGACAACGACACCCAACAAGATTTTGGGGGAAAAGCCAACGCTACGACCACCGTTGGAGTTCCCTCCCCTCCCCACTCTCATGCACAAACAACTCCCCTGATAATTTAAAAATTCAGTGTTTGGACTCAAATTAGACTCATTTTCAGCCCAGTGTGTAGTCGATTTTGCTCCCACTCTGCAAAGACTTCAACACACCGTCTCAGACTGCTGCGGGAATATCTCGAGCGGTACTTTGTACAAAAGTAGTCTCTATATTTGATGGTTGCATCGTTTCCGATTATATTGATAGCATACTTGTAAATACACATTCTCTCGTCCCCTGTCCCCTGTCCCCGGTCTTCTTACGAACAGGCACTAGTGGAGAGGGCCCACCGTGAGTACATGGCGGCGTCCGTGCCCCCCGCGGTGGCCGCGGCGGTGGCGGAGCTGGAAAAACAGCGGAGGGAGGGATCCACGGAGCCCCCGCCGCCGGCCTACGAGGCGTTCCTGGAGGGGCTCTCCGAGGACTATTCCCCTCTGTCCAAGAGCATCCTCGAGGCCTTCGAAGGTGGGGACCCTGGCCGTGTTTTATTTTAAATTATTTTAGAAAGTTTTGGTCGGGTGAAAAAACTTGAACGCGTACAAAGCATGCGTGCAAGCAAGCCTGAGGTTTGTTTTAGAGGTGGAGATACGATGCTGTGTAACTTTTCGCAGGAGACGCATGGGAAGCTTCGCACCACCTTGGCCCTTCGTCTCAAGGGCACCCGTCCTACAAACCACAGGGTTTTTAACGTTTTTACTTTGGCTACTGCTTCGGCAGTTTTTTTTCCCTTGCCTGACCTCTCTCTCTCACCCCCAACCCGCGATAAGTTCGGAAAAACAGTTTTGAGCCACCTTTGGCACAGTAGAAAGGAACGATTCGCCATCGATGATCGGTCTTACGGGAACAACGCTCCGTACTCTCGAGGACGGGTGGTCAGCCGTCTTATCAATTATGGCATGCGAAACTTGAGTCATGAGTACCTCATTTTGGCGTTGCCGCCTCTCTGAATACGCCCAAACCCCCCCTCCATCCTTTCGAGGACGCGTGGTCAACGGCCTAACATCTACGGCACGCAAAACATGAGTACCCCCCTTCCTCGCCCCGCCTCTCCGAATACGCGCAGCCGAGCTCCTGCGCATCCGCCACGAGTCCTTAGCCGCCGTCTCCCGGGCGGGCGAGGGTATCGAGGCCAACCGGGCCACCCTCCGTGAGGCAGGCGGGGGCGCGGCCGCTAAGGGAAAGCGTGCGTCGGAGCTTACCGCCTCTCCGGCCAATACCCGTGGCCGCAATAGCAGCGGCAGTAATGCCTCTCCGTCGTCGTCGAAGGTGGCGGAAGGCCGGGAGGGTGGGGGGTTGGGGGGGGCTGACCTTTCCCCCGTGTCGATGCTGAGGATGGTGGACGGTCACCCGGGGACGGAGGAGTGGCTCAAGGAGGTGAGGTCTGCCTGTGTACCTTTTTTTGGGGGGGTGGGGGGTGGGGGCGATTTCTCGTGTCTGTTATGCGTTTTTTTGTAATCCCCCTCCTTTAGGTTGGGTGTTTTGGTGTTCTCCATTCTGTCTCTATTATGCTGCGGCGTCAGTTGGATCAGTACCGATGTTGGAAACCGAAACCGGTTATTGAATGTGGAGACAAGAACAACGACCAGCGCGCGAGGTGCTCTGCACACTGGGGGGCTGGAGGTTTGTCGACCCCTCCTGTTGTTGTTCGATGAAAATGCCACCGCCCCTTTTGTATTTCACTCTGCTCTTGTGCATATGCTGTCATTCTGCACGTCACCCCTGCGATCGATTCTGCCGACCGCCCTTCCTTGATCGCATGCGCTCTCGCTGTTGTCGGTCGGTGTGATGCGATTTACACAGGTGGTGTCCAACTAAGACTATATATAGATTTGTAAATTCTTCCTCACAGTCTCCAGAATTTTCCTGTGGCTGCAAGAAGACCACGCACTGATTCTGTCCATCTGTCGCGTCAGCTGTCGGGTAGAGTCGGGCTGTCGTGTCGAACAGCCCGACAGGAGACATCAGCTTCAGCGAAAAACGTACGCGGTGAAGTCTAGAGGAAGGCGCCCGGGAAGTATCAACCCTCCCGTCCCCCCTGCCTCGCTGTTGTCCATTTTCGCCATGTGATTTGCACAGGTATCGTCCAACATTGTGGAGGTGTGGGAGGGCACCCGCGAAGCGCTGACTTCCCTAGCCGTGGACACTGTTCTCTCCAGCTCGCTGGAAAGGAGGGTCACGGCTCTCGAGGGTGTTCGAGCATCCGACCAAGACATATGCCAGGTATGGGGATTCGACCACGTTGGTGTGCCTGCTGTAACCAGGCGGTGTTTGCACGTAAATCCTTTTTTAGCGGCATGCACACACCACGCTGTTTGAAAGGAAAGGGGCCATTAACATGGTATGTATTCCAGAGGTGTATGTAGATACGAATAGTCCTTGGTTTTCAAGCAGGGTGGTACTTGCCTTGACAAGTGAAAACACGTATAAGAACGTGGAGGGCTTTACGCCTCTACCTCTCTCTCCCTCTCTCTTTTTCTCTTTTTCCCTCTGTCTCTCTTTCTCCCTCCCTCCCTCTCCCCTTCCCTTTCTCTCCTTCTCTCTGTTCCTTTCCCTCTGTCTCTCCCTCTCGCGCCCCATTCGCGCTCGCGCGCCCACAACTCGCAGCTGGCCCAGAGGATGGCGGAGCTGCAGTCGACGCTTGATCCCGCCCGCCTGAGCAAGAGGAACAAGTCTTCGACGCATCTCTTGGACGCGGAGAAAAACAGGAACGCTTGCCAAGCGGTAAGCACTCGTGTTGTTGTTGTTGTTGTTGTTGCTGCTGCTGCTGCTGCTGCTATTGCGTTGAAGCTGTTTCCTTACTTACCTCTCCTACCTACAGATGGAAGGCTTGCCGATGACGTGTGGTGTGGACGTTCTAAATAGATGCATCGTTGGCCCCTTCGGGTCGTTGCGTGCTTTTAATCACATAGGTGGGTACTTCCTGTTTAGTATCGACCGCACCAACCGGCTGACCATTGAACATAACATACCCCAGTCTCAGTGCGAATGTACCTCAAAGCCTCAGTGCAGCTACGCGAGATGAAACACGCTCGTAACGATCGTAACTGCGGCGCACTAGTGTGTTGTGTGTGTTTTGTTTGCAATGTCTGTCAGACCGTATTTCCGCTGACGGCATTTCGTTTAGGCGTCTCTTCCGATACTTGACGCGCGACGCACGCGCCATGCTTTTTTTGTTGCTGTGTCGTCCTTATAGGCCTACATGCGGGCGCTCAAGCGGCTCAAGGAGCAGCTCAAGCACTGGCGCGAGGCGTGCGGCTGCGGCTTCGACCCGAGCTTGCTCAGCGACGTCGCTCGTCAGGTGCCGCTTGCTGATATTTTCGCGTTGCTCTTCCCGTTGCTGTTTCGCTTCTCCCCGCTGTCCCTGTTGTCAATGTCGTCGTGTCGTGGTCGTGGTTGATGTGGCCATCGTCGTAGCAGTAGCCGCTCTTCCTGCTTTTGCCGTTGGATTTGGGGCTTGGAGTCCAGGTGCACCAGCTTTCTCAGTGATTTCGGGGTATGGTCGATCGACGCGCCAAGTTGTACTTGTTGAAGCTGCTGCGACTACTGTCTACTTTCGATGTCATGGTTGTTGTCGCCATCGTCGGAGTTGGCGTTGGCTTGGACTTGAAGCTCGATTGGGCTGTCGCGATGACTGGGAAATGTTGTTTTTGAGCCTACTCTCCTGCTGGCGATACCCCCCCCCCCCGCCCCCTCCTGTATCTTCGCTATTTGCCCCTCTTGCTGAGTATTCGTTCCTTTATATATGTACCTATCTTGGTATGTTGGGTTGAATTGTTGTGTGCCGGTGTTGTCTTGACGTGGCACAAGCGTTCCTCTCTGGGTGATCCCCCCCCCCCCGTAGCTTTCCGGTTAACCCTCGGGATACGTAACTGGGCTGGCGAAAAAAAAAAAAAAAACGGCGTATCGCTCCGTCCCGGTATTGTAGGGATGCGAGGTCTATGGTCTAATCGCCAAGACATGCGTTCACATGATTTTTTTGTTGTTGTTGTTGTTGTTGTTGTTGTTGTTGTTTTGTGTGTAATCGGTGTCGAATCGACTTTGACACATGCCATGACGTGTATTTACGAATACGCAGGCTCTCAACGACCTTCGCCGGGGGGGTGGCGCCGGTGCGAAGATCGAGCACATTCTTCCCCACCTCGACAGCAGCGCCAGCATCACCACCGGCGGCGGCGGCGGCGGCGGCGCCTCTGCTGCCGGTTCGCGACCGACCAGCCCGGACCTGTTCGGCGGCAAGCAATCTCCCCGACTGTCGCAAGACCCCGCCGTCGCTCCCCAGCAGCCTGCCGTGGAGGCTACTCCTCCCGCTGCCGCTGCTACGAGGACATCTCCTCCTCCTCCTCCTCCTCCTCCCGAGGCCACAAGCGGCTCAGCGGCTGGGACCGGTGCCGCCGCCGCCGCCGGGGGGGGCGGGGGTGCAATGCTCTCGATCGCGAACCCCAGCCTGGTGGCCTCTTCCGCAGCCGCGCCCATGTCTGCCAGCAAGCTTAGCGGCGGAGGTGTTCAGTCGTTCCGGGGCAGGGGGGGCGCATTCGGGATGCTCCTCCACAAGGTTCAGACGACGCAGTCGTCGGCGGGGGGCTCCGTGTCTGGAAGCGGCAGGGGTGGGGGGGTCGCGGTTGGGCTGGGCTCGGACGGGGCGGGGGTGGTTGAGGATGACGAGGGGTCTAGTGTTTCTGGCGGGGTCCCGCCGTGATGTGGAGGGGGTTGGCCACCCGCTCCGTTCGACGTACAGCAGCATGTGCCGCTTGTCTTGAGGGTGATTTGTTTTGCGTTTTGTTCCCAGCCCCCCGGTGGAGAGGAGGCTGGATTGTTTTTTTAGCCGACGGCACTCTACGTTCCCGTCTTGGAGCGAGAGCTTATGTAGTCTGCTGAGAAAAACTGGACACGTTGTCGCTCTTTTTTTTTTTTATTTGTTGAGGCGAGCTTGGTGGCTTGGGGGGCGTTGTTCCAGACTTCTTTGTGGCATGGAAAGTGTGTGTGTGAGATGGGAGATGGTTCTCTCGTAAAGCGCTCGGGGGGGCCGGCCTGTCTGGCCGTCTTGGCTAGGGATGTAACCCCGACTGTGGTTCGCGATTGATTGTCGTGGCTGCTGTGAGTAGTGCTCTTTGAGAGTATTTTCTATTTAATTGCGAGGAGGCGGTGGGCGGGCGTCGCTGCTGCGGCAAGCTACATATTTCCATATTGAGTAGCAAACGCTGATTGGGTGAAACGTATACCTACTTCGTAGCATCTTGACCTTTTTTTTTTGCTGATTTGGTGCTAGCTCATAGCATGTTGAGCACTGCGGACTGAGCGACAATTCTTTCATATTCAGCATCTTGAGTATTAACGCTGATTGGGTAACGGACGTGCAGCGACCCCGCTTCCAACGGCGGGAGTAAGAGCTGGTTTCGACGAGAAGGAGGCTGCTCACAAAGGTATATTAGTGTTGTTTTTGGTCGGGGGGGGGGGGAGATGTGACGTGTCCATCTATCTGGTGGCACATGGCGAATTCCCGGTAGTCGATCACTCCGGAGGGGGGGGGGGGGGGGGCAAAAAACCTTCCCCTTTTTCCCCTGGGGAACAAAAACCCCCCATCCCCCCGTTTTTGGGGGGGATTGGCCTCTTTTTGCTTCTTTTGCTTCCGAGGGAATCTAAAGAAAATGTTTTTTTGGGGGGGGGGGGCCCCCCCAAAATTTCTTTTTTGGCCCGCGGGGGCTATTTATTTCCCCCTGGGGGGGGGAACCCAAAACCCCAAAACTTTAAAATTTGGCCCCAGGTTTTTTTCCCCAAAAATTTCCCCCCTTTCTCGAAATTTTTGGGAAAAGGGCCCTTCCCCCGGTTTACAGGGGGGGAACCCCGGGGGGGGCAAAGGGAAAAAAAAGTTTTTATGGGCCGTTTTGGCCCCCCCCCTTGGAGGGGTGAAAAAAACCCCCAAAAAATTTACTTTTTTTTTTTGGGCCGGGGCTTTTCTCCA